TATCTTAACTGGAGACCTACAGTAATGTGGTGGAGAGGATGGACTTTAAGGATAGAGTTAAAATGCTCAGGCTGAGGGGCACCTGGGTGGCTCAGTGGGTTAAGTCTCTGCTTTCGGCTCAGGTCATGATCTCAGGGTCCTGGGATGGAGCCCCGAGTGGGCTCTCTGCTCAGCAGGGAGTCTGCATCCCTCTCTCTCTGCCTGCCTCTCTGCCTACTTGTGATCTCTGTCTGTCAAATAAATAAATAAAAATCTTTAAAAAAAAATAAAATAAAATGCTCAGGCTGAAATAGTCACCCCCCACGTACATGTTACACTGAGCAGGATACTTAATATGCCTGGTCTTCTCATGTCTGTAATGGTGCTGTTAATGGAAGATGTTTGGTAGGTTGCCAAAAGGGTTAAATAATCAATATATAGGGAGGATTTAAAAGAGTTCCGGCTCACAATAATCACTCCACCAATGTTAGTTACCATTATTACTACTTTTGGCTGAAACATTACAAAGGCCCCGGAGAGGTTCTCTACTTAAGGACCACATCGGGTTTTTTTGATTTTTTTTTTTTGTTTTTGTTTTTTTTTAAAGATTTTATTTATTTATTTGTCAGAAAGAGAGAGGGAGAGAGAGCAAGCACAGGCAGAGGCAGAGGGAGAAGCAGGCTCCCTGATGAGCAAGGAGCCCGATGTGGGACTCTATCCCAGGACGCCGGGATCATGACCTGAGCCGAAGGCAGCTGCTTAACCAACTGAGCCACCCAGGCGTCCCAGGACCACATCGGTTTTAAGCACATTCACTACAATGATATTTGCTATCACGGTGGTGTAATTCTCCTCGTTTTGCCTACTCAGCCACCTTCCCACCCTCTTCTCAAATATCTCTCTTGCTTTCCTTTGAGGAATCATCCTTTCCAACCCTTAGTCTTTCTAGGTTCCAGGGCCAGGGACCCAGTCCAGATACGGAGGAAGGAAAACAAGGGTTGGTTCAGGACTGGGGATGTGACCCAAGCTGATATTCGGACTGGCACTTGGCTGGGACTAACAATAATGAAGCCATCAGAACATGGACCTGGACTGTTTGTGGGAAGGAAGCAGAGCCAAGCAATGGAGAGAAAGAACGTTCCTAATCACATCATCTGACTTCTAGTAAATTCCATCCTCAGCTTCATTTGGTGTGAGTGGGCTTTGGGTACTAGAACCCAAGCTGTGCTGAGTAATAAGATCAGAACCAATTTCTATAAAGGTGAGAACCTATGATACTAAGTTAGGATCTCCTTAAGTCCTATGTGGGCTTCAAGGTATCATTGCAAAGGGACTAGTTTACACCAGGAATTTTTATCCAAATGAAAATGAGGATTATTTACAGGGTTATCAAAGAACCACAGTCCCTTCATATATGTTGGCCAGGAAGCAGTGAATAAAAAAGCCTAGAAAAGTGCCCCTCTGACTTTCAGGAATTTGGAGTTCCTTGAGGGGCTTGTAAAAAAGGTGGATTCAGAGACCCCACCCAGAAATTATACAACAGGTCTAGAAATCTGCATTTCTCATAAATACCACCGGAGGGCTGACCGTTCACGGACATTGGTAGTCCACTTTGAGAAACACTACCCCGAGAGGGCCCAGTTTTGTTTAGATATTGTAGGCAAATCTGGAGTACACAAACCCAGCTGGGAAGGAATCCCCAGAAAGCTGCGAAATGAAGAAATTCTCATAATTATTTCAGGAACTAAAACAACTTCAAAGACTGAGTCTGAGTTGGAGTACTAATTCTGAAGCAAATATTGGCAAATTTGGAAGTGTCTCAGCTCTAAAACCAGAAGAGCAGAAGCATTATATCCAGTTCTTTCTGTGGCTAGTTTCTATTAGGAGAAAAGGGGGGGGGGGAGAGGAAGTGGTGTAGAGTAAAAACAATAATCTAAAAATTGATTTCATGCTTATGGTTTTATCAATTTCATTACAATCAACTATAGTAACTGCAGTAGATCACTGCAAACAATTAACAAAGATGACCTCTGAGAATTCATCTCGGTTTTTAGCAGAGCAGCTATAATGAGCACAATTATAATAATTGGTAAGAAGCTTTTACAGCATTCCATAATACACAAAAGACAACATGGCAAAATGAAATAGATTGTTTTCCGAGGCTACCACACAAATTTCACAAAGGAAATCTTATGCTGACTGTAACGTGTACGGGGGTGATACAAGAGTCATTTGATGCTGTATCAGACATCATGGGAATTGAGAAAACTATCTCCTGATGTGAGGCTTATATTTATCTTTGTTAAGGGTCAGTGCTTATAAAACAGTCAGTGATGTGTGTGAATCAGGGAAACTACCCAGCCTTTTCAACAAGGGTTCCCTAAGAAAATTAAGTCCAAGTCCTATAAAGCATCCCCTGTACACAATGGACTGACTTTCCTATGTCCTGACAACAGCCTTAGCTCTGTACCATCCTCTGGGGGGCTGAGAAAAGAGTCTCTCATATTCATTTTCTGCAGGGCTTTGCTGTCTTGTGAACCTAGTTTAGAAAGGCTAACTGATACTCCTTCAACTGAAAATACATATACTGGGATAAATAGCTCTGTTGATTTCAAAGCAAGGTGGCCTAACAAGAGTAAGTGGTTCTTCAAAAATAGAACCAGAAACAATGTCAGTAATAGTCAGTGCTCTCAAGTCCTACTTTATGCATCAACATACAACTTTGAGCACTGAGATTAATGGTAGAAATCACTGTAGTTCCACGGAACCACACAACAGAACTTTCCAGCATGAATGTCTTGCAGTGTCTACACCCAGTAACTGTTAAATTGCCAAGTGCACTGCATTATGTGGAGAGCCTATTCAATCTAAGGAAAATAGAATATCATGATTTCGGCAGAACTGCACAATAAATTCTGACTTGTTTTGTCTATAAAAACTCTGTAAAAGGCTTACATATTTATAATGGATTTCTCTGTAGAGACTGATAGTACCTGATCTTGACTTTTGTGTTAGATTTGCTAACTGATCACACCAATACCCATTCTCCTTCCAAAACTAACAGAATGCGATTTTTTTATTATGTTAGGTTAGTCACCATATAGCACATCATTAGTTTTTGATGTAGTGTTCCATGATTCATTGTTTGTGTGTAACACCCAGTGCTCATTACAACCAGTGCCTTCCTTAATACCCATCACCAGGCTACCTCATCCCCACAGCCCCCTCCCCTCTGAAACCCTCAGATTATTTCCCAGAGTCCACAGTCTCTCATGGTTTGTCACCCCCCTCTGATTCCCCCTCTTCAGTTTTTCCTTCCTTTTCCTAATGTCCTCCGTGCTTTTCCTTATGTTCCACGTATGAGTGAAACCATATTTTTAATTGCACCTAACTGTACCAATTGGGAAAATAAAAGACTGCATTTCCCAGTTTCCCTTGAAGCTAGGTATAGCCAAGGAAAGCAGAAGTTAAATAGAAACGTATACAAGTAGGAAAGATTCTAGTGGAAGGAGCTCTTTTCTGTACCCTTCTGCTTCCACCCAGTCATTCTCCCTGTCTTGCTGCCAAAGAATGGGATCCATGGAAATTGACAACCAGCTTGAACCTGGAGTGCGGAAGCCGCAGGGCCACATTGTTGCCATAAACCTGGGCTGTAGATTCCGCACTCTTTTAACACCAGAGAGGGAGTCGCTTTGGCCTTTCTTATTTTGAGTAATTAACGTAATTGATATAAAATACCTGCAGTTTTGTATTCAGTAAAGGCCAAGTGAATCAATAAACTAACAGGGATCAAATATTTGAACTGATTTGCAACCTTTGAAATTTGAATAACGAATTTATTTGTATTTATTGTATTCATATATCAAAAATGTATTTATTGTATTGATTTATCAAATACATAATTCAAATAAAAGGAAGTAGTACTTTATCTAATGCCAATAAACATGGGGATAATTTTCTGCTGGTGAAGAAGACATACAATTTAAAGACAAATTCAGATCAGTAATAAGTAAGGAAAGGAAGTCAGTACAATGTGTGGTATAAGTGAACATTAGTGAAATTAGTATTCTGGGAGACGTGTACTATATGATATATATACTTAACAAAGATAACAGACTGGGCCAGAAGAGACACGGACTGAAATCTGACAGGCAGATATATTGCTTGCCTTTTTAAATTTGGATGTTGGTTCTTGATATTGTAGTGTGATTCATTCATTCTATGTCTATTTACATTGAATAAACCACTTCTGGGCTGAATGGAAGACTTTGGTCTTTTAGCTTTTATTTGGGCAGGCAGACATCTTAGAAAAATCCCCAGAACAATAGAAAATTATTAACATGCTTTTGATGTCCAGTGAGTCCTTTCAAGTCTGAGTTTTGCTCTATTCTCTCGAAAAGGCATTAAAATATTTTAAATAAACCTAGCAAAAAGGACTAAAAGCATGAGATTATATTTACAATAAAGTCTATTCCTTCGATTGCTTTTGATCACCCAGGCAGAAATTTTATTTCAGTGTTGCTCCATAATAATAAGAATTTTTGGTTGTAGGGATTATCTGGTCGATATTTTGGAGGAGGAAAATATATATTCATGTGAAATTTCCTAATCAAGCTGCAGTAGCTACCCAAACGTTTTCTACTCCAGTGTTAGGTGGACCTTTGGGAAAATTGCTAAGACCCATCTCTTCTGTGTAATCTCAGTATTATTCTTTTAATACCTTCAAATCCATGTTCTGTCTTCATATGCAAATATCCATGGTTGTGTTTATGTAAATTTTCAACACACATTATTCACTCTAACTACATAAGGCAGTGGGTGGGTATCTAATTTAATTAGGGTGATTTATGCGTGGTCTTCTCAGTCAGCTGTTCAATACTCTTAACTGCTTTATGTTAAGCTCAGTGGGGCAAGACCTTAGATGTTTAAGAAGATTCTATCTCTGAAAAATGATTTTTTTATCACTAATTTCTCTATCACAAATATATAGCCATTGAGATGGCAAGATAAAGATACATTACCCCTGTGACATCCATAACTTTAATGGCTGCAAGCTGGCCCGTTTTAACATGACGACCCTGTAAAGGAAAAAAATAATAATAAAAGGCTTTAGTTCTGATAAGCAATATCCACATTCAGTTCCACCCATAGCAAACAATTACCTAGATCACTGTTACAAAATGCAGTTGGGGAAAATGGACACACACACACCTTAAAAGCTTTAAGGATCAATTTCCATTCACTGTTTACTTTGTAAAACATCTCCATCACTTTGTTTTTGGGTTTGTTTTCATGGTGATTGTTAAGTTAACCAAAAAAGGTAATGTTGAATAATTTGGTTCTATCTTCTCTCTGAGGTGGTAGGTAAGGGCTTGCGTGGGAAGAAGGGGAGGTAGGCCTGGGTGGTGGGGACATAAGTATCTCCTTTGTCAGGAAATACTCAGTATGTGAAGAAACTTTAGTTTCCTTGATTATGAAAATATCTTGGATTTTAACAGTCTCAACTGGATAGGATTCTGCTCTTGCTTAAGATTGTAGATGTATCCTTATCTTAAAAGTGAGCCTAAAGGGGCACCTGGGTGGCTCAGTGGGTTAAAGCCTCTGCCTTCGGCTCAGGTCCTGATCCTGGGGTCCTGGGATCGAGCCCCGTGTCGGGCTCTCTGCTCGGTGGGGAGCCTGTTTCTCCCTCTCTCTCTGCCTGCCTCTCTGCCTACTTGTGATCTCTGTCTGTCAAATAAATAAATAAATAAAATCTTAAAAAAAAAAAAAAAGTGAGCCTAAAATAAAACAGGTAGTAATAAGTCCAAATTTGTGATCAAAGAGGCAGCATTGAGGGTGAGCCTCTGCTGGCCCAGGGCAGGCCTCTTGGTCTTTGGAACCACCACAGAGTGTCAACCACACAGAATCAGAAGAGCATTGGGTGTGGTGAGAGGACAATGCCAGAACAGAAGCATTGAATTTTTGGTTGAGAAACCCTTGCTCCTTGAGAAACTTGAAGTCTACATGCAACTCTCAGATGGTAGAGAGGACAGTCAATGCGCGTTACTTCTAAATGCATTTTATACGTGGCTTCTAAAGTACATTTCCGCTAGGACTGCTACCAGGCAGTAATATTATACCTCCAAGATCAGCTGGATTCAAAGGCCAGCTGCATGACCTTAGACCAGTCCCCTGACCTTCCCTCACCTTCCAGGCTTCAGTTTCCTCATCTGAAAAATGGAGACAGTGATACCTGACTCCTGGTATTGCAGTGGGGACTGAATGTGATAATGTAGCTACAGTGTGTGATGGTGCCCGGCACAGGGGAGGTGTCCACAGATGTGGCCTATGATTAGTTATGACCCTGTCTTGTGATTAATGTTAAACGTTGTCTTTCTTCCTAGCCTATATGTTTCATGAAGGCCAGGGCCATGTCTCGTCATTGTATTTCAGTGTCTGGAATGGTGGGCGCTCACCCCACAGCCGGAGTGGTGCGGTTATGGTGATGGAGGCATGGATGCTTGTAGCTGGGAAGAGGGGATAGGTTTGGTGCTGTCTGTCCCTTTTGTTCTCATGTATCTCAGCTTTTTACACCTATTGACTGATTCTGGTAGTGCGTCCCTACACCTTTCGACCTCCCATTCTGTTCCCCCTCCTCCTTGGTCAGTAAAGAGCTAAAAGAAGGAGGTATCAACTCCATAACCCAATAGGATCAAGGGCACAGCCCCTTCTACCTCTTTCAACTTTCAAGACAGTAAGGGAAGGGCCTGGAGTGCTATGGCACAGAGCCCTGGACTGGAATTCCAGAGGCCTGGTTCTTGTCTAGGTTCTGCTCATGCCCAACAGGTTCATTGGGGACAAGTGATGTAATTCATCTGGGCCCTAGTTTCCCTGTCTGCAGAATATAGGGGAACAGGGCTCCGTGGTTGGGGGAGGCGGAAGGTATAATTGTTACCACCACCCCTTTCCACCCCAAGGAACACTTAGTAATGCAGTTTCCAGAGGCCAGGAATACCGACTTCCTGCAGAGCTAGTGTCACACCAGGGAGCAGTAGCAACAGTGCCCCTCTGTTGATAAGCACTGAACGACCTCCCAAGTTGTCCGAGTCCCAGTAAGAGTCTAGGATGCTGCAATGATAACCTTGGCAAAGGAATCAGCAGCTTTTCTGTGGGAATACAGTTGACTCTTGAACAATGTGAGGGTTAGGGGGTCTGTCCCCCCCGCCACCAAAAATCCATGTACAACTTTGATTCCTCAAAAACTTAACTCCTACTAGTCTACTATTGACGGAAAGCCTTATCGCTAACATAAAACAGTTGATTAACCTATACCTTGTACGTTGTGTGTGTTATATACTGTATTCTTACAATAAGGTAAGCTAGAGAAAATAAAATGTTATTAAGAAGATCATAAGGAAGCAAAAATACATTTACAGTATGTCCTGTAAAAAATCTGCTCTACACGGACCTATACAGTCCAAAGTCCCGCTGTTCAGGGGAGAGCTGCCTCAAGTCTTCAATGCGAGGGCCGGCAATCACACCTCAAACGATGGCGGTTTCTCTAATAAAGCACTAAAGGAGGGTAGGGAAACTGAAGACAAATACAAAGCAACTGGTGGGTGTCCTCTAGCCGATTCACCCTGCAGTTCTGCTATGGGCTTCATACAGCCAGACACAGGTGCTTGTATGGCCGCCTGTGACCCAGGCCTCTCCCTGCCATACCACCTCGGGGGGCTCCCATCTGCTCTCATTCTGGGGTCCTTGAGATGAAACTGTTTGTGTTCTCTCACTGTACAATATTGTTCTTGCTTCTCTGGTAATGTGTTTTCTTGGCCCAAGACACCCTTCTCCTCCTGAATCCGCAGTAAAGTTACTCAGTCCTCTTAGATTCAACTCAAGTATCACCTCCTCTGAAACCTCACTGCCAATACCTTTTCCCCTCCGTGCTACCAACAAATATGTCCGTGGTTCTATGACTGCACTGAGCCCAAAGGACCGGTGGTCCCTCCTGTCCCTCTCTCTTTTTCCTTCCCACTCTCCCTTCCTTGTCTTCTGACTTCATTTGCAACAGAGCCTGGACCCCTCACCCCCACCGAAAAGGAAGATAAATCTTAAATGGAATCCTTCTGATTCAAGCAGGGGTTTGACGAGCAAAGTCTGATCCACTCTGCCCACCACATCTTTCTCTTCCTCTTTGGGGGTCCCTGAGGCATCTCTGTCGATACACAGTCTGAGAAACACTACATTTGATCTTTAACTCCTTAAGAAACAGGGACTCTTCTTGGAATGAATAATTTGTTACAAGGACACGTCAACACCTAGTTCTTTCCACCAGCGGGCTGGGAGCCCAGCACATCTAGCCCTTGGCCCAGGCCGGAGGCCAGGGAGCAGATAGAATATAAGTGATCCACTTGAGATTTCAAACCCAAGTTGTCATGGGGCAGTCCTTGCTGTGAGAGAAGTAAATGAAATATCTGCTACTTTTTTGAATGGAAGGTATGATGTTGTGTTTTTTTTTTTTTTTTTTTTTTTTTGGTCTTTGTTTTTATTCTAGTAACGGCTAATAATGTCATCGAAGGCAATACTGCGGAAGAGAACAACCTACTTGTCTCCCATTTTCAATTTCACTCCCAAGCTGCAGAACCGTTCTGGATGGTTCTGACAGATGACTGAATAGTACACCTCAGGATGGCAGTTTGGGCTTAAATGAGATCCTGGAGATGGAACAATTAGCAGCCTCAGCTCAGTCCCAGGCAAAGACATCCCCCGCACTCTGGAACAGGAAGGCTGCTGAGCTGTCAACCTTTGACAGAGGAGGGCCACAAAGGAGAGCGCCTACCATGAGGTGCCTTTTACATCACTGGAGAATGTCAACCCAAATTAGAATCCAGAATAAGGCCGACTTTGAGGGAATAGCCGGGAGTCAGCGGACCTAAAGATCACTAGAAACCTGAGGCACAGTCATTGTTCGGACACGGTTTAAAGAAGCAACTTCATAAAATCACAAATAAATTGAGTTGGAAGAGCCCCTAAGGCACCTAATCCAATACCCTTTTAGAAATGAGGCCCAAACCTCACAGTTAATGAGAACCTACACACAGGACACTTTCTCCTCTCTCCTACTTCTGCCATCCAGCTCTTGAAATAAAACTTCTTATTATGAAAGTTTTAAGAGATTTTTAAACAAATTTCTTTCATATTTTGCTTCATTAAACATCGAACTGTTCATCTCTATTTTGGGTAAGATTTAAAAAAATTATTTTTTGTTTGAGGGCAAGGCAACAGGGGAGGATGTTTTTATCATAGGAAAATTTTAAAGTGAAAATTTAACATTACTCCTAATTTTAATTTATGTCCATTTATGAAGTCATGAAAAATACAAACACAGACGCCATCTAAATTTGAATCTAAAAATGCATATTCAGCCAAGGACAAAAACATTTTTAATTCTGGGGTGGATTTTCAAGGGAGACAAAGGGTTAAAGTTTTTTTCTCTACAAAAATTAGAAAAAATATCTTGTTGGACTGCAGTGCTGAGTCATTTTTTAATAAAAGAAAGAAGGTTTTTTTTTTTCCCCCTGAAATAACCAACAATAACAAAAATAAAAGACTAAATCTTAGACTAAAAAGCATAATTGGTATTCCAGTAGGACCCGAAGCCTATTGTCAATCCTGTCGTCAAGCGTAACAAGCAGGTCCACAAGGAAGGAGGAAGAATGGACAGCAGATGGAGGAGAGCAAAGGGTGTGGGGTCACTGGGAACTGGAGGGTGTGGTCCGGCCCCATCCTCAGACACACATTCTGCCCCCCTTCTTCCTTTCTTCTCCCTCACACCTGACGTTAAAAAATACATATATGCTGATTCTTGTTCATTACAAAATAACTCAACACTGCAGCGAAATCTAAATCACTCAACGATTATAGAACTCCACCCCTTTACCTCCTCCCTGCAATGAATGCACAAGAAAAACAATGGTTTTGCCTGAAATAGCCCTGGAAGCCTTGGCTCTGTTACTGCTGTCCTTTACTAAGGAACAGCAAGATGGCTTTAGAGCCGCTAGCCTCAGGCTAGCCTGGAAGAAAGAGCACTTTCATTTCT